TCTCTGAATCTGGGCAAAAGCGGCTCGGACCAGCCTGAGTCCTCCCCTTTTAATCCACCAGGTTGTTGCTGTGATAGAAAGTAAGCGAAACTGGGAGAGGCCGGTGAGATGTTGCTGTGGGGAAAGGCGCTTCTGTGCCTTATATAAGCTGTGTTCCAAAATACAAAAGGCGCTTCTGAATAAGAGATGGGCCAGTCCGTCTATATCTCAGCTCCTGGGCACTACGTGGCAACACGATATCCAAAAAGTCCCCTCCGATTCCTCCAAGCCTGTCTCTGGCTTCACTTACACTTCTCAGGGGTCCTAAGGGCTATGCTTCCTGAGAAAGGAACCTGGTTACCAGAAACACCTACATTCCGGAAAGGGAGAAAAATACCAGTAAAATGGCTCCCCAGGGCAAACCGACCTTCCAAAAATGAATCAGTTGATGGAACAATCACTTTGTTTTTTAAATAATCAGGGGATGCAATTTGTTCACTTCTGCTCTGGATAGGAGTTTTAAAAAAGATTAGGCTGCCCAAATCCCTTGAGCAAAGGAAAACTCTCCATTGATTTTCCTGATTTTTTTTTCTCCTTATCTTACAAGCTTAGCTTTGAATGGAAGGTGAAGCTGGAGGTCAATGGAGCAACGTGGCAAAGCGAAGTGGACACTGGTGTCAAAGTCAGGAACCCAGAATCCGGTCCCCATGCTGCCTCTAACTAGCTTTGTGACTTCTTCGCCTAGGTTTTTGTCTTGTATGATTCACATGTGCGGAACCGTCAGGTACATTCCTCAGATAGACTGCCTCAGAAGCTGGTGACTTACCTGTCACCATCAACAGAACTTCAAAGCCTGACTGACCACTTGGTGGGCCTAAGAACTGGCATTTGTCTAATGTCTTCAGATGTCAGGAGGCTCTCTCCTCGGTGTCACTTCATATGATGACCATGACAATCCAGCCAAGGAGATACCTTGATTCCCACGTTAGAGACCAGATCAGAGAACAGGGCGCCTTGGCCAAGCTCACAGTACAGTGACCGGAGGTTAACAACATACCCCAGACCAGGCTGATGCCGCACCCAGCGCCTCACTAGGACATAGGCTGCTCGTCTGCAGGACGCTTCAGAGGGAGATTCTTGAGCCAGGGAGCTGACTGGCATGATGGTTTCTATCTCAATAAAATGAGGGGGTTGAAGTAAACCAGGAATTTTAAAAAATTTCTTGTAGCAGGAAAGATTCTTTGCTCTCAAATGAAATCTACAGAATGCCGAAATATAAAACAGTTCATTGCTTCCACCCAAAGGTCCACCAAGTGACAGATGGATAATATAACATGGTATATCCACATAATGGAATATTATTTGGTCATCAAAAGGAATAAAGCACCGATACATGTTACAACATGGGTGGACGTCGAAAACACGCTAAGTGAAAGAAGCCAGACAAAAATACTGTGTATTGTATGATTCTACTTATACGAAGTATTTAGAATAGGTATATCCAGAGTCAGAGAGTAGGTTGGTGGAGGTGGGAATGAGGAGTGGCTGCTTCATGGGTATAGGGTTTCCTTCTGGGGTGACAAAACATTTTGGAACTAGGGTGGTTGCATAACATTGTGAATATACTAAATGCCATGGAATTTAAATAGCTAATTTTATATTATGTGAATTTTATCACCATATATGTGTGTGTACAGATATATGATGTTTCCAGAGTCCCAACCCATTAGCCTCCCCTTTCCCATGTCCCTTCAGTGCCTCCAAAAAAACCCTACTATGTAAATCAGAGTCACTAGATACTATAAAATGTATCATAGTTCAAAAGAGTTCTCGTATGACAGCTATTTTATTCCTTCAGGGGCCAAAGCTATTTTCTCCTAATCCACAAAGAAATATGCCCGGGCCAGTGACATCTTGCTACTTGGAAACAGAATGTTCCATTGGCAACCAGCTCCAATGTCAATTCTAGTTCACAGTGACCCAGCAGCTTCAGTTTTAGGATGTCACTGGTTTTCAACTCAAAATTCTGCTTTAAGTATACCAGAAAAGATATGATAGCTAAGCTTTAATTTTGTTTTCTCATACTTTAGTAGAGAATTTTATTGTTGAGTAGTGAACTAAGCATTTAAGTGGCTACTATTTATCAATAGGTTTCCTGTTTCATTTAAATGCCATTTCATAGAAAAGGACACCAAGGCTCACACAGCTCCACAACATCCCTGAGGTCAGAATTTGAATCTGGTATCTTCGAGCGAGGCTCCAGCTTGCCAAGATAGGTACCAGCAGTCACAATTTCCTGTTCCCCTGGAAGGCATGGGGACTGCTTTCAGTCCCACCAGGAAACTGAACCCAGCCCATAAGCCCCCGAGGTGTGTGAAGATGCTTCACACATGGACACAATCCCCCTCCATACCTTCCCGAGGAAGTTCAGAGGCATGAAGAGGTCAGGACATCTATCTACCATTTTTCTTCAATCTATATGGGGATAGTGAAGACTCACCTCACTGGTCTTGCTGACAATCTGTACTCAAGAAGGAATTAATGAGGGACACTTCAGACTCTCTTTTGCTAAAGAGTTATAGCGAAAGGCTAGGGTTTCATTTGTTTTTAAAGCTTTAGGTCAGATCCTATTTAAACACAAAACACTCCGGTTTCTAAAGCTACCTCCCAACCCAGAAGTCTATGTGATGTCGTTTTCTGCAGCTGGAATGACATGGCCTCAGCTTTGGATACATATGATTCAGCACTACAACACTGGGCATTTTCTGTGGGCCTAAATACATTGCTTTTTCAAGTGATTCTGAAACATTTCTACACAGAGGAGTTGAGGATAATTTTAGCCTTTTTATCTGCATGATAAAGTTACCAGAATGGTAATAATAATTCTTTACATATAAATGCACTTTACAGATTACAAAGTACTTTCGTAGACAATCATTGTTGGGAGTTTTTTAAGGTGAAATTTAGGAAAATTATCAGTAAATGACATTTGGCTACTAATATGCACCCTTATAGGTAAGAAAAGGGGGAGCTAGAAGGGTTTTATATTAGAATCGAGGTCAGGTTCTAGAAGTTTTAACTGTTCCTGGTTATCAATAAAAAAAAAAAAAAGCCCATGCTTCAGTTAAAACCAGCTTCTGCTACTTATGATTGGTAAGTTGTAAATGTCTTTCCCATTCTTCCTGTGGTCCTGTGCCCCCTTGCTATTCAGTTTTAGATCTACAGCTCACAGAGATGATCCAGAATGCCAGGTGTAGGTAAAGCAAAACACCTAAACCAAGAAAAAGAAAGCTAATCATGTTTCGGTACCATTTAGCGTGAAAATACAGTGATCCTCTTCTATCTCTTCCTATTTTTGGTGGCCACACAACGGCCTTCGAATTTGTTCCCACCAACACAACTGGAGCGCTCATGTGTCAAGGTCATCTTTAAAGATCTGTACTAGCTTGCCACACTGACATGGACAGCCCCCCAAGCCCCCCCAGAGTGCCGTACAGTCAGTCTCTCGAGACCTCATCTCTATCAGGGAGATCAGTAACCCTCGGAGAGTAGATTAGTTTTATTGCAATGAACCTGACCAAACTGCCCTCCGTCTGCTGCCTCCCCTTAGGGCTGGCGGAAGAAAGCCGTTGCGTGCCCGGACGAGTGGTCGCGCTCCCAGTTGCCGTGGCGTGTGAGCCACACCGAGCATGCGGGGGACCTGATGGGACGCCACTTTGCAGCTCTAATCGGTGGGAGCCACGCCTGGCAGGACTGGCCCGACGGGCAGCAGGTGAACGTTCTCAGCCAAGTCTTGCCAGCAGCCGCACGCTGTGCCTCATGTGGTGAAGAACGCTCCAGAGGGGCGCTCAAGCGAGCAGCCACCGTCCAGCCGGACTCAGAATAAGACAAACACTCCTACAGAGTGACATTTCCTGCCAGGCAGCAGCACTCAACCTCGGCTGCTCGGTAGGATCCCCTAGGGAACCTGGAAGACTTATGTGGCCAGGCCTCCAGTTCAGGCTAATTAAAATCAGTGTCTCTAGAAGTGGGGGCCCTCACACTGGTGTTTATGATGGTTCTAGTGCGCAAGCCAGGGGAGAAGCACCACTGCAGAATATTCTAACAGTATCTCTGGCGTGAGCCCAGTTCGTGAGGTGGAGGACCTGCAGAACACCCCTTGCTCAGGAAGGGGAAGCCAGTGTTCCCTGCAGTCTTGGACCGTGCTGACAAGGGCTTTATTTGTCTGCGAGCGTTTAGGTCAATCTGATTTGCCGGGGGTACAAAGAGTGCTATTTGAAATGCCTGTCTTTGATTTTTCTGCCTCAAACAAGCATAACGATATTTACTTAACCCATACTTTGTGAGAGCTAGGAATTTGACAAAAACAAAACAAACAAAATACCCAAATGAGATGCCGCTCATTTCAGGGGTGATTCCATGGAGGGAGGGGCGGGGCACCCACTCCCACCAGCATCCCGACCAGGGTAACCTGCCCCGGGGTGGGGGGGACAGAGAGAATTATACTGCTGTAAAGATGATAGAACTTCCGGAATTTCCTTAAATTGGCTCTGCGAACGTTGAAACAAAAAGCTTATAATGCAAGAGTATAAGCATCACGAAGAAGGTAAAAAGGAAATGATCTTTATCACATCCAAGTGGCCTGTGGTCCTCTCCTTGGCTTTGTTTTGCTCTCTCCCTAGGCTTGAGCATTTCCAAGAGAAGCACTATGTCACCAATAGTGGGTGAGAGGAGATCCCATCTCGGGGGGTGGGGCGGAGTGGGTTTGTGGAAGAGACTCCCTAGATTCAAGTAACAATCAGCTAAAAATTCATCAGCTGAATCCCAAACGTCAGATTCATATATATATCCATCTCCTGATTTTAAGTCACTATATTCAGAGGCTGATATCCATAAATGAAAATATGATGGATTAGCTGGTTTAATATGTTCATCTCACAACGTTACGATGTCCTAAGAACCGAATGGCTAGGACATGGGGAGCAGAGTTGATAGAAATGAATGATATAAAAAATACTTACTGGTTCTCTCTTTTGTTCTTGAGTGGGTCCATGAGGCGCAGTGTGTCTCTGATCACGGCCACCTTCACTTCCTCATCGACAAGGCTGGGGACATTTTCAAACACCCCTGGAGAAAGCTTGAATGGGTAGGATTCTGTTTCAGTGGAGGGAGTGACTTGGTACCAAGCGACTATCAGCACCAGCTCATTGGCTGTACTGTTAGTTAGGTTTTGCTTATATGAATCTATAGAAGAGAATTTTTAAAGGCTCCCTTCATGCTATTTGTACAATGGCAATTTCCTTTAACAAATCGACAAAAGACATAAAGAGGAAATACATACATAAAGAGCACTATGTTAATCTAATCATCAAAATCATACATGCTCGTTGTAGAAAATTTGGAAATATAGAAGGGGCTAAGAAAATTAAAAGAATCTACATAGTCCCCCCAAAACCCAATATTAGTATTTGGTGTATTTCCTTCCAGTCTTTTTTACGTGTGTGTGTGTTTTTTTAAGGGGGGAGGAAAAATATAACCACTGTTAAATGTACTATTTATCTTAGTGATTCAAGTATGTCGACATGGCTAAATCATATTCATAGCATTTCAATTAGCTCATCTCCTGAGGCTAACTAATTAGTTCATGTCAAAACTGATGGAAAGGCTCAGCTGTTCCTATATCCGCAGACCTTAAAAATTGGAAGAATGGCATGCTGGGAAGTTACCATGGGTCGGATAGGTCTTATATTTATAGACTCTGCTCAGAGCTCAACCAAACTGAAATTATTTAGACTTGGGCAGAAGTTTGCTGTGCCAGTTTGAGAATGTTGAATCTTGTTTAGCCAAGTGAGCAGCATGAGAGTGACCACATGCAGCAGTTGGGCAATTTATTCAAGGAGATATTCAAAGTACTTACTTCTTGCTCATGTTCGATTCTCATGCTGGGATTCGCATTTACTTCAAGTAGGATAGGCTTCAGGTTTTTCATTAGAAGAATGTCAAAGCCTAAAATCTGGGTGGGATAAACATAATTCAGGATTACTCCCTCTAGCTACAATTTCTTTTCAGGAATCGAGTATGGTATTAGGGTCATTAAGGTGACGATAAATCCAAACCTGACCCCCACCCTGGGCCTTGACCCTGGCTTCTCCTGTCCACGGCGCCTCTTCCTCGGGGTGTACTTCTTAGGCCAAATGGACAGCAGAACATTTTATAGGAACCTTGATAATGGGACGAGTTCTCATGGCGCATTTCAGCATTATCAGTGACCTCTTTCTTCCTTAACAGGTTTTTTATTATGTTAAGGATCAGCTGTGGTCCATCAATTTCTCCCCCTCCATCTGCTCTTCTCTATTAAGCTGCTTCTTAGCTAGATCTCTGAAAACCCAAGGCTACTTTTCTTAAGCTCAGGTGTACATCGGTATCACTGAAGGGGCCCTAACCACCACCCCTCCCCCAACCCACACCTGGAAGTCAGAATCTGTCAGAGGGGAACACAGGCAAGTGAATTTTGAAAACCAAGGCCCCTGCCCCTCCCTCTCCGGTGATTCCGATAGACCTTCTTAGCTAAGGAGAAGGGAATATTTATTAGGCACCATTTACTATACAATGCACCGATTATTCATAATCTCATTTAATCCTCATGACAGTGTATTTGAAGGAGGGATCTGCTCTCGATTTTACAAAAGGAGAAACTGAGTCTCAGGCCAGTGGATTTCCCCAAAGACTGGCCCCTCACCATTTGTGGGATCCAGCGCAAGACAGAAACGTGGGTCCCCTTGTTCAAAAAGTATTGACAATTTCATGATGGTGACAACAGAGCATTAAACCAGGCACCAAGCCCTTCTGGGTGTGGAGCACTGTGTCACTGCCTTGGCTCACACCCCAGGCTAACTCCAACACCATTTGTCCTTGACGCCTACCCTTCCGTCCAGAGTGCTGCTTCAGGGGAAGCTTTGTCTTCTGGCCTCTTTCAGTTCCTCACAAGCCCTAGGATGGGGTGAGCCACCCTGGCATCTCATTCCCTCTGCCTGAAACAACCCTTCCCCTACATGACTCCTCCTGATCCTTGAGATCCCAGGTTCTAATTAGATTCACACTCGAACCATGAGGACGTCAGATTCTCGGCGGGGACTCTCATTAACTCTATAGGAGGTGAGGAGGTAGAAAGCTTCTAACAGAATTGATACAGTCCCAAAGTTTCAAAAAAATAAGATGGAGAATAACGGAGAGAGAAAGAAAAAGCGACAGCTGTGTCCCCATCTCTGTGGACACCAGAAGAAAAGATGGGGGGAAATCCATTTACTTGTCTATATAGAATGTGCATTAGTTAGATGATAATTATGAAACTGTAGTTTCATCCTTATTAATGAAACCAGAGGCTGAATGACCATTTTCGGGGGTAACTCAAGATGAGGTTATTCTTCAGTGAAGGGCAGTAAGGATGAGGAGTTGGAAAAAGTCATCCTGACTCTATTTTTCTTTCCCTGGTCACGAAAAGAAAGGAATGGAAATTTGGTAGAAAATGTTACATGCATTATAGATGCGCTGAATAATATATGACAAGTGGCTGTGAGTGATGAGCCCTTTAAGAGACTCTGGTGACATCATCAGTCTAACTTCAGACCTGGGCTGAGGCAAGTGGTGTTGATGAGGCTACAGAGAGCAGCGGGCTATGTGGCCCACGTTTGTCATCCTTAGTCATCAACTGCTTTTTGCTCCATCTCAGAAGCTTGGACTCGCTCTTTCTCAGCCTGGTGGACGCTTTCAGTTCAATGCACAGTGGTTTCATGAAAATAAAGCTACAGGAAAGCCGGAGAAGGCAAAATCTCACCAGCCGTATTGACCTGCCCCCACCAATGGTGTGGTATTTTCCAGAACCTAAACTTTGGTGCATGTAACTGAATATGTAGGATCTTGTACAGAAATGGTTTGGAGTCAGAAAGACTTGGCTCCAATCCTACTTCCATCTCTCACTCTAGGTGTGGTGCTTAGCCTCACTGAGCTTCATATACCTCATCTGAAAGATGAGAGTCACAATAGCTGATTTGCAGGGTTAGCTGCTAATGGAAGCAAAGAGTACCTAGGGTTATGCTCATCATATAGGAGGTACCCAATATAGGCTAGCTCCCTTTGCAGGTTCCTACTGATCCTACCACTGAGAAATGGCATGAAATGGCTTTAGAGTCCAGAGGAGCTCATTTCAAATCCTAGTTCTGCCTTTAACTTGTGTAACTATAGGCAAGTTACTCAGCAGCTCTAAGCCCCAGTTTCCTCATCTGTAAAATGGGAATAAGACTAGTACTGACCTTAGTTCATTCATTCAAAAAATATTTATCGAATGCTTTCCTATATCCCAGGAATTATTCTAGCTTCTAGAAATACAGCAGTGGACTAGACAGGCTCCCTGTCCTCTTGGAGCTTACAGTCTAGTAGGGGGGGGCAGGACAAATAAAGATAATGTGATGTAAAATATTTTGCACAGTGCCTGAAACACAGTAAGCATTTGATGAAGGTCAGCTTTATTATATTTTTTCACAAGTTCAAGGAAATACAATTTTTTGTCTTTTCAAAAGTTCAATGAAATATGTAGCACCAAGGCATCTCAACAAACAGAATAACAGGTCTGAGAGGAGCTTAGAGTTGATCTTGTCATGAAACTCTGGCATGTTAAGAGCTGGCAAAAAATCAGGAATTTATTTGGTCCAGTGTTTTTCAAAATGGGCTTCTTTTCTGGGGAAGCACTGGGGAGGCCAGATCAAATTACTTTTACCTATTTCAAATAGTGGGTTCCCCAGAGGAAAAAAAGCTTTATATTTTTTTGAAAAACTATTAATCTAGTCTAACAATCCCTTTATGCAGATCACAAACCTGCAGCTTAGAGAGGGGAAAACCTCTCCCCAGTTTGATGGCACAGCAGGAATTGTCAAAAGTGGGGAGAGATGGGAGGGGGAGAACTTTTCAATCACATGATACTCTGCCCCATACAAGTACTTGAGTCAGCAATTATGTGTTGCACACCTCCTGCTCCAGAGGCACTCTGGGGATTCCAAGTTATCTGTCCTTCAGCCCTTCTAGAAGCTTCCAAAACAAGTTGGGAAGAAAAGGGCCCTGGGCCATTACTCGTAAACTCATGCCAAGGCTCCAAGCTACCTTCCAATGAGAGGAGATTCTCTCTTGAGCCCTAGAACTACATATCCATCTGCATCCATAGTAATCCCAACCGGGAGGTTGGGTCCTCAAATTTAGCATATCCAAACACACTATCAGAATCCAAACTCACTAGCCTCTAAAATGGTCTCAATGATCCCCACCTCCTGGTAGTCATGTGCTTGTGTAATCCCCTCCCCTTGCATGTGAGCTGCACCTAGTGATTTGTTCCTAAAAACAGCAGAGGACAGAAATGATGGGATGTCACTTCCAATATTAGATTATAAAAAGACAGTGGCTTCCATCCTGGAATACCTTCTCCTGCTCTCTTGCTCACAAACTCTGAGGGAAGCCAGCTGCTACGTTGTGGACTGCCCTCTGGAGGTCCAGGCGACAAGGAACTGATGATGTCTCCAGCCAACAGCCAGGGGGGCCTGAGGCCTATCCTCAGGCTCCTTCCCCAGTGGGGCCTTGAGGTGACTATAGTCCTGGCCATCATGTTGATTGCAGCCTTGTGAGAGACTGAACAAGAGGGAGTCCCCTAAGCCTTGGTTCCTGATCCACACAAACTGAGAGATAATAAATGTTTGTAAGTTTCAGCTGCTAAGTTTTGGGGAAATTTGTTACACCGCAATAGATTATTAATACACCATCTTTCTCTAAAATCGACTTTGTCTCCTGTATTCCTTATCCACCCAATTACATAAGTCAAAACTCTCTCCTTCATCTTTCATATCTAGCTGCTCACCAACTCCTGCTCAATGTATCTCTTGTACATCCTATCTCCTAAAGAGCTTTCCAGAACTGGCCCATCCTCACTGCTCCTAGCCTCCATTGGGTCTGCACCAGCTTTCACCTGGACTAATTTAATAGCCTCCCTATTTGTTTCTTGCTCTCCAACTTACCCCTCTAGTTCATCTGGCACAAGGGGCTGCCAGAGTAATTTTTCTAAAATGTAGAGTATTAGCATTCCTCTGCCTAACATCCCTGCCTGAAGAATGAAGCCCCAGTTCCACGACATGTCCTACAAATTCCTCTTTGACTTGACATTGATCTCAGACTCCAGCTTTATTTCCTCCCCCTGCACATCTTGGGCTGTAATTGTGCTAAACTATTAGTAGTTCGAGAATGCTTTACTGCTGTCTGCCTTTATACTCTTCTGCCTGGAAGACAACTTTATTGATGAAATATTTATTGAGCACCTACTAAATAACTAGGTACTGTTCTGGGCACTGGGGATAAGCAGTGAACAAGATAAATGATGTTTTAATATCCTGCCTTCTTGGAGCTTACATTCTAGTGGAGAGAGAGATCACAGTAAGTTAATAATTAAGGCCACAAAGAGTGTGATATGGTGGATGGAGGGGAGGGTTGGTGGTTTAGAACGATGACCAGGGAAGGCCTTGCCATCCCATTGTCTTCTGGCTTCCACAGTTTCTGATGAGAATACCTTTTTCATTATTCTTTGCTCTTCTGAACATAATGTATCTTTTCTCTTTAGCTGCTTTTAAGATTTTTTTTTTATCATCACTGGTTTTCCACAATTTGATTATGATAAGCTTTGGTGTGTGTGTGTGTGTGTGTGTCCTCCTTGGAGTTTCTTAGGCTTCTTGGATTGCAGATTTCTAGTTTTTATCAAATTTGGAAATTTGGAGCCATTTCTGCAAATATCTTTCTGTATTTTCCTTGTCTCTTCTACTTAGGGAACTCCAATTACACATATGTTAAAATACTGGATTTTGTACCATACCTTATTTTTCCTGTCATTTTCTCTTCTCTCTGTTTCATTTTGGATAGGTTCTATTGCTATGTCTTCAAGTTCACTGATCATTTCTCCTGCAGTGTCTAATCTGCTAATCTCATTCAGTGAAATTTTCATCTCAGATTTTGTATTTTCTTCTCTAGAAGTTCCATTTGGTTCTTTTAATAGCTTCCATCTCTCTTCATTAAGCTCATATTTTCCTTTAAAATCTTGTGCATAGTTATAATAGTTGTTTTAACATCTTTTTCCTACTAGTTTCATCACTTCTGATAATTCTGAGTCTGTATTGATCTCCCCCCTTGGTATGGGTTACCTTACCTGCTCTGTGGAATGTCTGGATGCTGGATGCTGGACATTGTGAATGTTATAATGCTGAGTGTCTGGATTTTGTTTTCTTTTAAAAGGGGGTAGGCTTTTCTGGCAGTTAAGTTATTTGCAGATTAATTTGATACCTCCAAGGCCTACTGTTTAAGCTCCACTCAGTTGGGTCTAGAGTAACTTTCATTCCAGGGAAGATTCAGTCCATTAAGGCATAACTTCTCTGGAACCTCCACTGAATGCTCCCAGTGACCACCAAGGACTATCCACACTGGCTACTCAGAGCATGAACATCTCTCCCTGCTCTGTGTGAGCCTGGGAGTTGTTCAGGTTATCAGTTCACCGGTCTCTCTTTGCCCAACCGTATGGACCAACACTCACACCGGGGTGGCCTAACACTCAGCAATGACACAGGGATCTCTGCAGGCTCTGGAGCTCTTTTCCAGCTCAGTTCCCTCCGTTTCAGAATTCTGCACACAGAATTTCAGCTGCCTCAGCTTTCCCAAACTTTGATCTCCATCTCTGCAGCTCATTGAGGTCACAGCTCTTGGGTTCCCCTTCCCTGTGTCCATATCCTGGAGTTGTGGCAACCATAGGATTCAACCTTGGTTCCACTCCCCACTTCCTCAGGGATCACAGTGCTGAGCTGCCTGTTGTCCAAAATCGGAAACCACTTATTTCATATATTTTGTCTAGTATTCTAGTTGTTTTCAGCAGGACTTCTAGTCCAGATTTGTTATTCCATCATGACCAGAAGCAAAAGTCCCAGGAGGTGAGGCATGAATCGGGACTGATTGAAGTGAGTTGATAAGTCATTTGAAGAGCTAAGGAAGAGCATTCCAGGCAGAGGGAACAGCAAGAACCCAGGTCACTTTCGAACAACCGCAAAGGGTGAGCAAGAGGGAGAATGGTAGGAGATGAGGTCAGATAGGAAGAAGAGGAACCGATCGTGTAGCATCTTTTAGGCCATGGTAAGGAGCCAGGATTTTAAGTGCAATGAGAAAGCCATTGGAGAGTTTGCACAAGGGAAGTAATTGGATCTGACATGTTCTAAAAGAATCACTTTGGCTACAGTGAGAAAAATAGGCCATCAGCAGCAAGGGTGGGAAATGGGGCATCAATTAGGAGGCTATTGCGGTGGTACAAATGCAAGGTGATGGCTGCCTAGACTTGGACGGTAGCAGTGGAGCTGGTTAGGATGTATTTTAAAGTCTATTTGCAAGACTGGCTTATGTAGCAGACCCAGGAAGGAGGCAAAAAGAAGAAAGAATGGCTCAGGTTTTCACTTTGCATAACTGATAGAACGCTGTGCATTTACTGAAATAGGAAAACAATGGCAAACTAGGTGTGGGAGGGAAATCAAGAGTTTGATTTTGGACATGTTGAGCGTGAGAGTCCCACTAGATATCTGAATAGAAAATGGAAGGAGGCAGCTGGATATACTAGCCAGGGGGCTAAGTGAGAACACTGAGGGAGTGATTGTAGATAAGGGAATTTTCCAAGCACTGAGTGCTAGGAATCTCCAGCCCTGAAGGTTCAGAAGGAGGGGCACAGAAGCAGCAGCCAGGAAGGGGGCAGGGAAAGCAGACCATGATGGAGGTCCCTCACCCCTTTCTGCTTGGCAAATTCTGCTTCATCCCTGAAGCTCTGGCTAAAACAGCTCCTCCTCTGGGAAGCCCTCCCTGACTGGGTCAGGCAAAGTTAATTACTCCCTTCTCTGTGCTCTTGCAGCACCCTGTAGAGGCCCTTCTCCATCATTTAGGACAAGCAGTTGTGATCCCCAGGTGCCAGTCTTCCCCATAATCTGCGCCCCTCTTGGGGCAGGGACCGTGCCTTACCCATGGCCACCTGCCCCACAGCTAGCTCGGGGCTTGTCTCAGTGTGTGCCCAGGGAATATCCCTAAGGAAGAAAAAAGCTTATGTATCAGAAGTGGTCAAGGAAGGCTTTACAGAGAAGGAGGGATTTAAGCAGCACCTTGGTGGAAGCACTGAATTCCAAAAAACAGTGAGACTGGAGAGCGAGCCTGCCAGGCCAAGACAGAGGAGGACAAATGGGCAGGCTCAGGAAAGCACAAACTATGTCTAAGACACAGGAGCTGCTGTGTGTGGCAGGACAGATAAGGAAACAGAGGCGAAGAAAGGTTAACTGGCAAGCTCACCAGCTCGCGTGGCTGGAAGGAGCTGGTATTAGCTCAAACTCAGGGCCTCTGAGAGCGAAACCCAAGCCCTCGCGTGGCCACAAAGCTGCTTCTTCATCTCCTTCCCAGGGGGCGTCTGGGGCTAAAGGGGAGCAGGGGATCAAAAGAACAAAGAAGAAAGAGAAGCACTTTAGGCTTCAGGAAAGGTGTCTCCTCCAGACATCTAAGGGAAAGGATCAGGAGCCAAGGAGAGAATGAGACACAGCGCTAAAGGAAGATAGAGACGGAGCAACAGAACTGGGAAAGAATGTTCTTGAAAGCTGAGCTGGGAAACCTTTCCTTTGCGTGTGTTTTTCTGCCACATGAATCATCTACCCCCACATGGACCTGACTGCCGAAGCCAGGGTCACACCGCTGCCCTTCTTGAGGGCCGTGAGGACGTGTCGTGGGGGGCTGGCTGCACGATGGGGTTGGGGGGGGACGTTCCTAGGCAACAGATTACAGGAAAGCTGCCCACAGCCTGAGCCGCGCCAGCAGCCGCTCCAGGCCACCACAATTTCCCAAGCAGTTATTGTGGCTATGATTGGAAAGGGGTCACAATCACATGTTTGAGATAAACGTAATGTCGCTGGCTGGAGTTTATGTCCTGGAATGCAGCAACGTGGGCCCGGCCCAGGCTATAGGCGAAGGGGGCTCCACGACAAAGAAATCATTTCTTGTACGTGCACAGAACGTTATAGTTTGCCTCTTTATCTCACATGTGACGGACAATGGCCCTGGGAGGAGGCTGAGGAAACAGGCACAGAGAAGTTAAGTGACTTAGGTAAGGTCACACAGCAACTCCATAGCAGAACCATACCGTTTCCTTCAATCTTCGGGTTTCAAGTTACTTCGGGTATCTGAGACCCAAACTAACAAGTGTTTTACCAAGTGATGAGGATAAAGAAAGTAAGAGAGGGCTCCAAGGGGAAAAAACCTAGTATTTTGTCGATCACCGTGAATCTGAAATGTATGGTAAACCCAATTTCAAACATCTAACACTTTACTCCTCGTCGAAGCTTTGTACCTACAGTGTCTCATGCTGCTCCTAAGAAGGCAGCTGGGGAAGCAAGTGTGGGTGATTCCCAGGGAAAGAAACAGAGGCCCAGGGTAGTGAAGGACTTTGCCCAAGATCACACAGCTGCGAAGGGGAAGAGCTCCTCCTTGGAGCGTTGCTTCCAGTCCGGTGCTCATCCCCTGACCCCAGGCCTGGAAACAGTTAGTGTGGTCAAGCAAAGGAAAACAGACACGGGGCTGCGGTTCCATCTGCTAGACGTCATCCGTCCAAACCAGTGGCTCCCTCCCTGTCTGCCCTCCAGTTCCCCACAGCTTGCGCCCCTGGTTCCACCCCAGTGGCCGCCCATGCAGCCTGTCCGCAGCAAGACAAGCAGCAAAGCCGCCACCCTGGCACTCCCCCCTGCGCCCTCACCGTGCCAGGGCTCCGTGGCTTGGCTGTGCATGCCGGGCCCGCATGACTCTCCTGGAATAGCCGTCACCATCAAACAGATGCAGCCACACGGTCCCCTGGGATGACCCCTGGATGCCTCCACGTTGCAACGGTCTCCTTTGCCCTAACCTTTTGATGGCTTGGGATCGGACTTGTTTTCTCTGGTCCTATCTCTAAGTTCTCCCCACTTACCCTTTCTAATGCCGTAAGCTACCTACCTACCTGATGGCTGGGCTGGACAGACATCCTACCTGGGAACCAGAGTCTGGGGTCCAAGGGCCTAAGGACGGATCTCTAGATCTAGACCCATCCATCAGAGTCGCTGCCCCCCTGCCTCTGCCCTCCCTTCTTTGTTCCATCGGCCTGTTGCTTTCCTGCCACAGTCTTGGATGGAGGACGAGAAACAACCCAAACAAATCGTATGTATTGATATTGGCCTAGATAGCAGTGCAAATGAAACGGGTCCCAACAGCCCACCTCAACATGTGGTGGAAAAGAATGTTGAAAAAGACCATATACTTTATAGTAGCGTTTTTATAAAGCTCAAAACCAAGCAAAACAAAACAATATATATTGTTAGGGATACATTCGTGCATAAGAAAAGTATTTTTTAAGGCAGGGGGAATGATAAACATAAAATTCCAGACACTGTGACCCTGGGAGTGGGTAGGAAAGTGGGATGGGGACAAGCACAGTAGCTAGCAAGCGAGCTTGGGTAGGGAGGTGGCGTTTGGGATGACCATTTTGTTGTTCTGCTCCAAAGCTTACAGGCGTGTTCTGTGTGTTCTTTTTATACATTCACCTGCCACAAAGTAATTTGGAAGATGAGATGGAGAGGGTCCCAGAGGTACTCCTTCTTACCATCTGCTCCCCACTCTGAGTATCTGGTGGCAGGAACCCGGGTGTCTACTGAGTGCCCAGACTCCAGCCTCGCCCTGCTTCACAGCTCTACTCTCGTTCCCTCCCCTTCCTCCCGCGCTCTGGCTCGGGCCACCACGCTGTGGCCCCAGCCCCCTCACTCCCATGAAGATCATCCTCGATGATCACGAAGCACAGTGGACAATTTCAGTTCTGGTCTCGTGTGACAGCTCAGTGGCATTTGCCACTGCTGATCCCTGCCTGCTCCTTCTCCAAGCACGTCTTCCTTGGCACTCAAGGTACTTCCTCTCCTGATATCCCTTCTACGCCTCAAGCCCCTTCTTGTTGGCCTGTGCTGGTCCCTCCCCCACCCCCCACCCCCACCTGTCCCTTGCCTAAACAATGGTGCCCACAGGAGTCTTCTGAGGCCCCGCCTCCCCTGCAGCCTCACACGGCTTCCGTCATTGTCTGAACGCTGGTGAGTTCTCAGCCGGGCCCCAGCATCTCGCTCCTGAACTCCAGGCCCAAATGTCCAATTGTCCACTCAAACTCTCCACTTGGAGGTCACATAGGCTCTTCAAGGGCGTGTTCAAGTCCAACTCCTGACCTTCCCCACACAAGCCTGGTCCCCTTCCTGTGGCTTCTATTCATCCATCCAAGTGCCTAAGCCACGAGGCACTGCCTCACCAAGCCCTTCAACCCCAGCAGTCACCAGCCCAGCCCGTGCACCTCCTAAATGGCTCTCAGATCTATTCTCTCCACCCGCACCGAGATCTTCCCAATCCAAGTGAACATCAGCTCTTGCTTGTATGAAAGCCATCGGTTCACTAGTCACCTCCCTGCTCCCAGCCTTGCCCAATCCACTCTCTACCCTGCAGCTGGTTTGTTCTTTGTAACGTGCAAACCTGAGCCCACCATTCCCCTGTGCACATCCTCTGGGGGCCCCCACAGCCCTCAGCCTTCCATGATCTGGCCGCGACCTACCTCTCCCGGCTCCTCTTCCCTCATATCCCTCCAAGCTCTGCCTCAAACCCCACCCTCCAACCACACCGAACCTCTTTCAATTCCTCGAACTGCATGACTCCCCCCCCTTCCCCCTAGGGCTGCGAACATGTCCCCCAGAACACTGTCTCCCCAGCCCTATCCAGAATCTCCGACTTCGTCCAATTGCCACTCCTTCCCAGACCACCCTCACTCCCAGCCAGAAAATGTCAGACAGTCCCACAATGTCACAGTGCCCAGTCCATTTCTTCCTCTACTCTAGCCCTTGTGACACTTTATACGAGGTGCTTTCTAAACGATTTGTCTCCCATATTAGTAAACTCCATGCCTCGGCCAGAGGAGACCTGACCGACTGTCTACGCAGTACCTGGGACAGTGCCTGGGCCCTACGAAGCAGGTGGTACAAAATGCTGGAAGGAAGGATGAATAAATAAATGGCAAGCACTGTGCTTGTGTTATTTCATTTAATTCTTACAAGAATCCTTTCAGGGAGGTACTCGTCGTCTCATTTTACAGGTGAGAAAAGGGAAGCAACTTGCCTCTATTCACACAGCTAGCAAACGTAAAGTTGGACCCAGGTTTAACCCCCAAGGCCACACCCGCAACCCCCTCTGCCCACCTCTGGCCACCCCACCCCCACCTTTCATCCCACAGGAAGCCAGGGAGCCTTCCACAGGCCCTGTGAGGTTTTGGGAACTCAGGCTGGGACTGGCAATGGTTACCTGGAAGCACGTGGGCCCCGGCCTCCCCGCGGGGATGTCCGACTGGTAGAAAACTTTGAGCTCTGGAGTCAGGGCAATGACAGTCTTAATCACCAGGGAGATGATATCAGACCAGACCTTCTTGATGTCAACACCTTTGGAAGACAACCTACAAAGGATGCTAGAGAAAGTCCTTTTGCTGCCCGTGCTAGCGCTGTCCGAATGGACAAAGTTACCACTGTGGATGTTCAGGGAATAGTTGGTTAAGTGCATAAAGATGTGGTGCAGATTTTTGGGGTTGGGCTCCTGATATGGCTCTGTACAAAATCTAGAGAGTCCATCTTTGGCTATATAAATCTCTAAGGGGTCTAAGGACTTGAGTAAGACATACAGACGAATGTCAAACTTGAGCTTGTCAATCAGAAGAGGTTTGCAGATGTACTCCTGGACCACCGCTGGTCGGCTCTGAAGGGTCCCTGCCAGGCGGATGTCACTGGGGTCTTTAATGAGGTAGATGCCATCGCCCTGACAACCACTGTCAGGCTTCACAATAAAAGTGGGCTTCCAGGAGGGGTCGCCATCTTTCACCATTCGAACCTGGTGGGGAAAAAAGAATGGTTAGCCTTACATTCTTTTCCTCTCTGCACCCCCAAGACAGAGCAGGACCTCAGCCAATGTTTGGTGAAGGAGTGACAAAGTGAGCCCTGCCTGTGGGAGTCTTCACAGGACTAAGAACTGTCGTGACCTAAGAACTGTCCTTAGTCTTGTCCTCCAGGAAGGGGACTGGGAATGTGGCGGATCTTCGGTTCCAGGAGCTAGGTCCAAATCCCGGGTGTTTGTCGGAGATCTAACACCGGGCAAGTCATTTAACTTATGATGATATGATAATGGTGAGGAGGAGGAGGAGGAAGAGAAGGAGGAGGATAATGGCCTAACACCATTTTTAAAGAAGATTTTATTTATTTATTTGACAAAGAGAGAGAGAGAGCATGAGCAGAGGGGAGGGGCGGGGGCAGGGGGAGAGGGACAAGCAGACTCGCCACGGAGTGGGGCGCCCAATCCTTGATGGAGATTCCAATCCCAGTTCTGCCTCTCAGCTAGCTGACAAGTTACTTCATCCTTAAGAAATAGGAATGGCTGGGCTTCACGGCTGCCTTTCACGGGTCAGGCTCTGCGTGCTTGGGCCTTTGCATTCCTGATCTCACTTAATCCTCAGAACAATCTTACTCCTGTTGTGCAGATGAGGACGTCACCGAGAACTTAAGTGACTTACCCAGGTCACACAGGAGCAGCAGGGCCAGGATGGGGCTCAGGCAGTGGGACTGCAGTGCCCACGCTCTGACCATCTCTGCTCCTTGTGTTGTGAAAGAGAATCATATTCTCTGTGAGGGTCAGAGTAGGTGGACGGTGCCGTGTGGACTATCTGGCGCATCGCAGGCACTCATGAATGGGGCTGGGCCGGGGCGCCCGGCGGGCTCAGTTGGTTACGCGGCTCCTGGGATCGAGCCCCGCATCGGGCTCGCTGCTCAGCAGGACTGTCTGCTTCTCCCTCTCCCTCTGCTCTTACCCCCGCTTGTACTCACTCTACCTCTCAAATAAATAAATAAATCTTTAAAAAAATAAAAATGGGGATCTACAACCCTACCCTCACTGGATCACTGTAAGGAGGAGATAAACTGAAATGTGCCAAGGGCCAAGTGTAAGACCAAACGCGGAGCTAGTGCGGGGAAACGTTCATGTTATCATTTGTATCTCCCGTTCGGTTCCTCTAGCAGACCGGGCCCATCCTCCTTCGGTCTGTTGAGATCTTTTTGAAACTAGATTCTGCCATCCATAATATCTGCTGTCTTTCCAGCTCCAGGTCAGCAGCACATTCACATAATTATCTGGGGCACTTGACCAGTCCAGACACTCAGTCTGGATCTGCAGGTCTGCTGTATGATTCATGCACACCCAATTCCCCTGGACACTCATCAGGTCCTCTGTGCGGCCACGGAGAGTGCACAGACTTGGACTTGGAGGGGGCAGGGGAGCTGGAGGAAGCCTGGAGGCAGATGGGAAAGAGGGAGCCAGTCTCTCTGCAGCTTCTGCCGGGCCGTGCAAGACTCGCAAGCAGGCCTTCCGTTCTGGGCTCTATAACTCAGAGCCATGCCCGGGTGGTGGGGGGGGCAAGGAGGTGGCGTGCCGCCCCCC